CCAGCCACCCACCCACCCAGCCAGCCAGCCAGCCATCTAGCTATCCTTGTTGTGGTAACAGTGGTTTTCAGCTGGTTTAGAGGAACAGAATCACACTCTTTGGGGGTCTCACAAGTTAGCTGTCCCCAGACGTGGGTGGGAAGAGGTGACCACTGTCACCATGATGTCCCCCTCCCTTTCTTATTCCTGTGCAGGGTGCCAAGGGAGAAGACGGTGCTCGCGGGGTGCCTGGAGCTGCTGGGAACCCCGTGAGTCCTGGAGGCCCCCACCACCGGGTGCCCTGGGGGACAGGGCTGCACATCTGCCCGTGGCTCTGGGCTCAGGGTGGGCGGGCGCCGGGAAGTGCCACCAGGTGCAGGCGGGACTTTGAGCAGCAAGGACAAGAGATGGTGGCCTCGCCGCTTCACAGCGGTGCGGGCTCTGCACACACACACTCACGCACACACCACATACAACACACACATGCACCGCAATGCCACACACACAGCGCACACACACCACCACCCCACAGCGCCCGCCGGTGACAGCGGGAGGCGCCCTCGTGGGCGGGGCCTTCGGGCAGCAGCGGTGTCACAAGCACAGTGCACTGAGGGGTTTGCAGAGCCCGAGGGGCGCGTGGTCGGCGCCAGTCTCTGACCGTCACCCCCACAGGGCGCGCCTGGACCTGCAGGCCCCCCGGGCCCCAGTGGAGCCCCAGGAGATGCGGTGAGTGGGGCGGGGTCACCAGCCCTGGGGGGGCCCAGGCCCTGGGCGATGCAGTGAGGCCTCCACTTCTCGGGAGACCCGTGTCCCCACGAGGGCCGCCTGCAGGCCAGGGAAGGGAAGGGGCTCGGGGTGCTGAGGGCTGCAGCGGGCGGCGGGGTGGCCAGAGCGTGAATGTCCCGGATGTTAGCCCAGCACCCGAGGCTGCCCGGGGAAGCGAGAGGACCTCAGACTGGGTCCTGGCTGCGGGGACCCGGTTCCCGTCACCTTCCGCCCTGACTGGCTTCCAGGCCGCGGCCGGCCCCCCACCCTCGGCATTTCCAGTCAAAATGGAGACAGCAGCGGGGCCGGGCCCTCCGGCCCTGGGACGTCCAGCGCCCCTTGGGGGGTGGCCCCTCCCCATGGCTGAGGTGTCCACTGTGGGCTGCTGAGGGCCACCGCCCACGCTGACTGTACGACGTTCGGTGAAAGCATCCGGGCCCGGCCTGGCGAAGTCCGTCCCGCGCCGCCACCCGGCGACAGTGGGGCCTTGGGGTCAGGCCGGCCTCTTCTCGCAGCTCTGTCCCCGGGGAGGCGGGGACCATCATGGCCCGCTTTTACCCACGGGAAACTGAGGCACGGGAGGCCGTCGTTTGTGGTTGCCGTAGATGGATGGGAACAGCTTCCCTGGGGAGGGCGCCGTCTGGAGAGCCAGGCCTGCCTCTGGCTTCTGGAGATGGCGCCACGGTCCGGCCGCGTGACAGGCGGCCTCGGCTGCCCCAGCAGCTGCCCTGAGCGGTGGACACTGACGGCCCGCCTGCCCCGGGGGCTCTGCGGGTGCATCCTGCCTGCTCCCCAGAGCCCCGCAGGGCTGAGCCGGGTGGCGCACAGCCGTCTGTCCTCCCCTCCGCCTGCCGCCCTGCTGGAATGTGAGGGCCCGTCTCGGAGCCCGCCTCTGGGGCGCTCCCGAGACTCGGGGTCCGGGCCTGCCTCTGACGTCCCACCTGGCTCCGGGTCCTCCTCATCCCCCGGGGGTCTGCCCCAGGCCTGGCCCTGCTCTCCTCCAGAGCCTCCGCCGGCGCGTCCGGCAGCCTCGCCCATGTGCTTGCCCAGGGTGTGCGGGGCCGCTGGGCTCTGGGGGCCTGCTCACCCTCTGGGGCCACGGGCCACCTTGGAGTTTGCGTGTTGATAGCTTTCTTTTTTGTTCAGGGCCCCCCTGGCATCAGAGGCTCCCCTGGGAAAGACGGGGCGCGGGGAGAGAAGGTGAGTCACGCTCCACCTGCAGCCCGGGAGGCCGCTGCCAGCCCTGCTCCCTGTCCCCGGTGCCTGCCGCTCGCCCCCCTCCTTGCTGCTGCCAGACTCTGGCTAGGAGGAAAGGCCTGTTGGGAAGAAGAGGGGCGCCTGCCCCACCATGCCAGCCGACGGGCGAAGCGGGACCCGGGCGCCTGGGCTGGCCCCTGGGGCACCTGTTAGGGACCATCTGTGGGTGCCCGGGCTCGGGTGTGCTGGCGGCTATGTGCAGAGGCCGGGCTGGTGCTCGGACTTGCCAGTGGCCTTCAGCGCCCCAGCGCTGGTCTCCCCCAGTGCTGGTCACCCCCAGAGGTCAGTGCCAAGCCGAGCGGCCTGGCTTTATGTTTTGCTTGTAATTGCGGTCATGTTGATCTCGAGGTGCCGGAACACACCTCTGCAGGTGCACGTGACCACCCACCCCCCAAAGTCCCCACCACGGTCCATGCGGCCCCTCCCCCTCCATGGTGGCGTCTGCTTCGCCCCGTTTCTCATCTGTAAACTGGGCCGATGAGACGGTGGCCACGGGTCGTGGGGCTCCCAGGGGTCGTGGGGCTCCCGGGAGGGGCCTGCCGAGCGGGCCTGTGATGGGGGGCTGCTCCATGGTCAGCAGGTTGCACAGCCACAGCCCCGCACCCCAGGGCCCCAGGGGGCCCTACAGACATCCCTCCGAGCACACGTGTCAGAACTTCTCCAGACACATTCCTCCTTTTCTGCTTTGCCTGGAGACTCACAGGCGTGGACACTTTATCTTGTATCCTGCAGTGAAGTGTGACGAGACAGGTGGTGGGGTGGGGCTGGGGTCAGAATGCAGAAGAGTTCGGTGCAGAGAAAACAGGTCAGCCGACCTGCGGAACTACCTGGGCTTTGCACCTGCCAGGATCACAGGCTCAGTAATGACCCTGGTGCGTGTGAGGTAGGCACTGTCGCTTTGGAGAAGTAGGTGGTACGGCCTTAGGCTGCTCATGAGACCACCCAGGCTGCACCAGGGAACAAAAACCACAGCCTGGCTTCTGGCCTCCACCACACCAGGCTTCTGAGGACTGTTGTTGGCCCTGGCCCCAAGTGGTGAACCCTCAAGACACTTCAGGGTTTGAGGACCGGAGCCCTGGGGAGCACAAGCGCCATTGGCCCATTCGCCCTCTAGGGGGCGCCAAACACCGCTCCGTGGCCCGGCAAAGCCCAGGCCCAGGCCACGGCCCCGGGGAAGGGGACGGAAACGCGCCCGCCCCATGTCCTGCAGAGGGGATGAACGTCCACACCTGGACATGCTCTCCCTCCTGCCCGATGTCCGGGGCTGGTAGGAGGATGGGAGGCCGGCCTGGCCCTTGGCTTGGAGAGGAGCCTCTTCACCCCTGGCTTTGCCGATTCCGGCCCGACTCCTCACTGACTCTCCACCGGGGAGACCCAGACTGCACCTTGGGCCCAAGGGGCCCCAATCCAGGAGGCGTCCTGGGCTCCTGTAGTGTCCTTCAGCCACGAGGGGCTGGGCGGTGTGGTCACGAAGAAGGGCTTGGTCTACAGGAACTCCAGGCCAGCTCCTCGTGGAGCCTGTGGAGCCTGGATTGCTCTTTTTAACCCTTTGGCTCTCTCTGTCCCTCTTCCTCTGTGTGTTTTTGTCTGTCTCTGTTCCTCTGTGTGCTCTCTTTAACGCCTAAAACTGTGGTCATATCACTGAAGGCCTACTGCATGAAGAAGGAGTAGGTTTTGTCCACAGAGCTCCAAGCATGCATGCCAGATGCCTGGGAGGAGGCAGAGAGTGCTGTCTGGGCTGGCCGAAAGGACCCCTGAGGCTAGGCTGAGCCACACTGGCCCCGGGCAGCAGTGACCACTGCCCTGCAGGGCCTTACGCCCTGCCCTGGCGGGGGGCTGATCGCCACTCACCCCCTTCCCTCTCCATGCCCCCTATGCATGCATTTGCTATTGGAAGCTGCACAGACCAAGTGGCTTAAACGACAGACACGTCCCTCCTGGCTCCCGGTGGCAGTCCAGGCTGAAGGGCAGGGTGGCGCCTCCCAGGCGGTGAGGGGTGGCCTTCCTCAGGCCCCTCCCCTTGGCTTGTGGCCAGCCACCTTCTCCCCGCATCCGCGTCCTCCCTCTGGGTTGCCGGGCATGGGTCCTGCTCACCACACCTGGTCATGTTGGGTCAGGACCTGCCCCTCGGGGTTACCTCATCCTTTCTTACCTGCGAAGGCCCTGTTTGTAAATAGAGGTACAGGAGTTAGGGCTTCGGCCTGTCCACTTTGGGGGACGTGATCCAACTAGCCATACACATAGGTCTGTGGTCCTCTGCCCTTGGGGGGATGGGTTTTCTGAACTGTCGGGGCGTCTCCAGGGGGACCCCCAGCTCTCACATGCTGGCCAGTGGTAAGCGTGTCCTTGGGGGTTGATGAGCCTGAGCACTGTCCACTTTTCTTTTCAGGGAGCAGCAGGTGAAGAAGGCAGCCCAGGGCCAGCTGGGCCCAGAGGTGACCCTGGTGCTCCCGGGCTCCCTGGACCATCAGGAAAGGGGAAGGATGGGGAGCCGGTAAGTGTCCCCAGAAACCAGGGGCTTCTGTGCCGTGACAGTCAGGCCACACTTGCAAGACAAAGACTCACTGGCCAAATGCAGAAACTGAGTTACAGCCAGTGACAGGAAGTGAGCAGGGAGGGTGTGGGCAGGCCTGGGGGTCAGGCTGGGGTGGTGGGGAGGCCTGGGGGGCCAGAGCACCGCCCTGCTTGTCCAGGTGCCAGACTGCTGGGCCGGAGACAGGGATGGGTCTGAGATCCTCAGGCTCTGAGACCCCGCGCCAGAGAGAGGGGCAGCTTCTGGGCTCATTCGGGGCAGGGTCGCCATTGTGAGCTGGAGGCTCTGTGCTGACTCCGTCATCTTTAACCCTGAATATAAACCTCCTTTAACCCCTCGCACGGCTGCTCACACCCGCCGGTCTTGATTAATCTTCCCTCCGAGGGAGCAGGGTCACAGATCCGAGGTGTGTGGCCTCTGCTGGCTGCCATTGTGGTCACCAGGCACCGAGCGCTCTGTGCTTCATCCTCACAACTGCCCCGAGAAGCCAGGGCTCGCCCAGTCCGCTTAGACCCGCTAATGAGCTATCCCCCTGCTACCAGTGGCCAGAGAAGTGACGGCTGGCAGCCTCCAGCTGAAGCCCGAGTCCGGGCTGGCCGGGCAGCCCCAGGCACTGGCTGTACTCGCCATGTCCTCAGGGGCGAGGGGCTCACCGGGGCTCCCCTGCCCGCCCCCTCACCTCCCCAAACCCTCCCTCCTGCTGCCGTCACGCTGAGCGTTAGGGTCTAGCACCTGCTTTGTTGATCACAGACATTCAGAACGCAACAGCGTCATTCACCCCGTGTATAGACAGGTTACGGGGTTCCGAGAGGTGGGTCGCCGGCCAGAGCCAACAGCCAGGAAGAGGCAGAGCCCACTGTGATGCCCCCAGGGCCTGGATGTCACTGTGACTCTCCCAGCCAAGTGCCACTAAGCTGGGGGTTCTGGCCCGCCTGCCCGCGCAGAGGCCGCGGCCAGAAACGGCGGCTCTCCTCGCGTGCCGGCCTCGATCACGGTGGACGCCGAGGTCGGGCTGTGGAGTCGGAGTTGCTCTGCTTGGAAACCCGGCCTTGACCTTACTTGTGGGCGCCTGTAAAGCAAGGGCCCCCGGTGGGAAAGCAAAGGAAGAGACTCCGAGTTTTGCTCAAGGCCACGCAGAAGTGGCAGAGCTGGAATTCAAGCTCAAAGGCCTCCGTTTCTTTCGTACCAGACGGACGTGAGTGGACGCTGTCCGTCTCTGGCCCCTACCGCACGGGGTGCCCAGTGGAGCAGTCGGGGGGGGCTCGCTCAGGTCCTGACTGTCCTGGTATTTGTCCGTTTTCCCAGGGACTTCGCGGACCACCTGGATTACCTGGACCCCTGGGAACCAAGGTAAGTGCTTACCTGGGCAACCTGTGGGCGCCGGGCTCAGAAAGCGGCCGTGGACAGTCTCCCGCGAGGACCTCTGCGGCCTCCCCGCCTCCGTCACATGCTGCCGACGGAGGCTCTTGACTCGGCTGTGCCTTCAGCGCGGCGCCGCGGCTCGGTGAGCCGGTGCTGGCTAACGGACGCCGCACGGGCCGCC